AGACCAGCGGGCTGTGGCGGGTTAGGACGAGCTCTATGACGGCGGCCGGAGAAGAGATGGAATATATTTGCCGGTGGTTGGTGGTGGCCACGGGAGAAAACGCCGAGCGTGTTGTGCCGGAGATTAATGGGCTTAAGAAAGAGTTTGACGGAGAAGTGATTCACGCTTGTGAGTATAAGTCCGGCGAGAAATATAGAGGGAAGAGAGTTCTTGTCGTCGGATGTGGAAACTCCGGCATGGAAGTCTCGCTTGATCTTGCTAATCACAATGCTATGCCTTCCATGGTCGTTCGAAGCTCGGTAAGCAAAAAAATATATTTTATTTTTACAAATACATGATTTATCGAATATCTATATTTTGAAACTTCTTGAATATAAAGTTTGTAATTTAAGCCAAGTTTTGTGATAAGACAAAAATTAGCTAGTTCCATAAAAGTTTGAAACCTTCAGCTAAACGTGTTCTTGTGTTTGTGTCAGGTTCATGTGTTACCGAGGGAAATTATGGGAAAATCAACATTCGGAATCTCGATGATGATGATGAAGTGGCTACCACTATGGCTCGTAGACAAACTTCTGTTGATCTTATCGTGGCTGGTTCTAGGGAGCTTAGCAAAGTATGGTCTCAAGAGGCCCACCATCGGTCCAATGGAGCTCAAAAGCAAGACGGGAAAGACGCCGGTTCTCGACATCGGTGCTTTGGAGAAGATAAAGTCCGGCGACATAGAAATCGTCCCTGCAATCAAACGGTTCTCACGTTGCCACGTGGAGCTCGTAGATGGCCAGAAGCTAGATATCGACGCTGTGGTTCTCGCCACCGGTTATCGCAGCAACGTCCCTTCTTGGCTTCAGGTGAGAAAAAGTTTAAGTATTTTTGTTTACACATGCAGTGAAATTATGTTTCTTGTGAAACAAGAAAACTAAATTCCTTTTTTTGTTGAATAAACAGGAAAGCGAATTCTTTTCGGAAAATGGGTTTCCGAAATCGCCGTTTCCAAACGCGTGGAAAGGGAAATCGGGGTTATATGCGGCCGGATTCACGAGAAAAGGATTGGCCGGAGCATCAGCAGACGCCGTTAACATCGCTCAAGACATTGGAAATGTGTGGAGAGAAGAGACCAAACGACTTAAGATGAGAAGAAATGTGGGTCATCGCAGATGCATCTCAGTTGCTTAAACCTCAAGTTAGGGGGTTTTCAAAATTATTTTGTTTATCTGTGAATAAATACGACAAAGGGAAAATGTATAGTAGAGTAAAGAGAACCCTCTCCTAAAGTCCCTGACAGTGTTATTTTATTATTACACAGCTCAATGGACGTTTTGTAAAATTAGGATGAAGTGGCTCACTTTTTTTTCTTCTAACTAAAATACTGTATGCTTCTTCTGTAATACTTTTTCCCTGGTAGTAATTAATTAATTTGTTTTTGTATGGGTTACTATGAAAACAAATTAAACGGTTAACTTATGGGCTCAAATATCAAAGGCCCATAACTGTGGTGTAATGTCCTTGGCCGGTTCCTTTCAAGACCGGCTCGACCTACTCTGAATCTGACCCGGTCTGAGTTAAACTCGGAAGTAGGAACTGATTCAGCCTGACCGTGATTATTCAGTCTCGTCTTGTCCTTGAGGTTTAGAGTTAAATCAGATGAAAAAATAATATTATCTTTTCTTTCTGCTAAAATTCCCAAAAGCGGATGAACAAAACAGCAATCTTATAATTTTTCTTCATTTCCCTTCTCCACTCTATAAACCCTAATTGAAAAATCCAAAAACAGAGTACCTTCGATTTGTGTTCTTTTGCTGTCTGACAAACCTCGAAGAAAATGGCGGAGAGAGTGGCGGAATCAGGCGTGGCAGGGTCCAATGGTGGAGGGGCAGAGAAATCTCTCAAGGATAAAGGGAACGAGTTCTTCAAAGCTGGGAACTACCTCAAAGCTGCAGCTCTTTATACTCAAGCCATCAAGCTCGATCCTTCTAACGCTACTCTTTACAGGTTTCTCCAGATTACTTCTTCGTCTTTTTTTGTTTCTCTAACAATTTTCGTAGTTATACGATTCCTATTGGGTTCGATCGTAAATGATAAGTGTATGTATTTTTTAGTAACATCCGAGATTAATCGTTGGGTTTTGATGGGTTTCCTTCAAAAAAATCGATTTGAGCTGCGTGTTCTTATAAGATCTAGTTCTCTTCTCTTGTGAAATGTTAGACCTGAAAATGAGATTGTTTAGGTTGAAAATTGAGGCTTTTCTTACCTTGAATTGTTTGATCTTAATATTATACGTCAACATTTGGGTTATATTCTCAGAAGATCAACTCTGATTTAGAACACTAAAAATTGAAGTTTTTGTTTAAGGTTGTGTGAAATGAATGTTGCTCAGAGCAGAATACTAAAATTGTATCAGTTAGAAGATTTTGAGTTTACTAAAGCTTTTTCGTTATCAATTGCAGTAACCGAGCTGCTGCATTCTTGAGTCTAGTTAAGCTTAGCAAGGCCTTAGCTGATGCAGAGACAACCATCAAACTCAACCCTCAATGGGAGAAGGTAAATCGAATCAAAGAGAATGTTTTGTTTTTGGTTTATGTTCTATCTTTATGTAAATAATAATGACTTTTCTGATCTAATCTTCTTCAGGGGTACTTCAGGAAAGGTTCTGTGCTTGAAGCCATGGAAAAATACGAAGATGTAAAAGATTCTCCTTTTCCTTTTAAATTTTGGTTACAAAGCTGTAACCAATGTAGTTAAAATCTATGTGATGATTGTGACAGGCCGTGGCTGCATTTGAAAAGGCTCTAGAGCACAACCCCCGGAGCGCAGAAGTGTCTAGAAAGATCAAGAGGCTCGGTCAGTTGCAGAAGGAGAAACAGAGAGCTCAAGAACTCGAGAGTTTGAAATCTAACATCAACATGGCCAAGCATCTTGAAAGCTTCAAATCTGAAATGGTTAGTTTCTCTTTACTCCAAGTGAAAATCCGATGAATCAATATAAGCCTTTGTGCGTTGCTTGTTGAACTTCAGATTCTGAAACTAATCGTCTCCATATGAACAAACACTTGCAGTCTGCAAACTATGGGGCTGAAGAGTGTTGGGAAGAGATGTTTTCTTTTCTTGTCGAGACAATGGAAACAGCTGTGAAGTCGTGGCACGAGACATCTAAAGTCGATAATAGAGTCTATTTCCTTCTTGACAAAGAGAAAACACAAACCGATAAGTACGCTCCAGTAGTCAACATCGATAAGGTATTAAAGAAGGACATGAGCCAACTTACAAGATCTTACGAGAAAATGGAAAAAGTCATTTTTTTGGTCTACTAACACTAGTTGTTCATACTACTACAGGCTTTTGAGTCACCAGACACACACAGTAACTGCTTTTCATATCTGAGGCAGTACGCAGAAGAGTCCTTTTCCAAAGCTGCTTGCTTAGTAACATCAAAGAGTAGTATATCTTATCCACAGGTGAATCAAATCTGTCTTGTTTTGCTTGCTAAAAGTCTTTTTCTTTCTCTGGTTTTTATACTGTGGACTGATGATGAAATCTTGTGTGGCAGGTGTGGAAAGGTCAAGGCTCGAGGAAGTGGAAACTCGGACAAAACGATGGAATCTTTGTTCAGTTTGAAACCCCTTGTATTCGAAATGTTTGGTTCATTGCTAGCTCCCAAGAAAAAGGGCACACTTTATGCAGGTGCGTTTCCTCTCTCACACATAAGAGTTATGACTACACAGAAGCTGTTGTCTTCGTCGTGGGTGTATGTATATAGATGTACTAAAGTAACAAACTTTTGATTTGAGAAACTGGTATTGTGATTTCAGGGATCCGCAAGCACTGGATATCGGCGCACATGAGATTCTCCCTCGCATTTTCAAGGAAGTATCGAAGAGCTCGTAGGGCATTGTTTGTTGCAGTATGATCATTATCCAGTTTTTGATACAAGACTTTGAATAGAAAAATTAGAGTTCCTTGTGTGTTTTGCTTGCGCTGCTCTCCCACCTCTTTTTGTTGTTTCTCTTCTTTTATTTTTAAGAGATTTTATATTTTTGATTATCCAATGTTTTTGTTCAAAATTGCTTCAATGAAAAAGGCCCCTAATGGGCTATTCTCAGAAAGTTAATTGGCCCAAACTAAATCTATTCAAAACAAAGGAGATTCGGCCACATTCCACTCCACCGACAACCGACGGTTCAAAGACGGTAGCTTATCTATTTGACTCAATCTCGTTTGAATTATCCCAAACCCATTTTCTTATTATCCTCTTTTTTTCTTCCCCCCACGTAGATTGTACTTAGAAATGAAAGTAAAGACATTGTGGGATAAATAAGGAAAAGTTGCATAACAAATCATGTTTTAAGTAACAGAGAAGAAAAAAATTTGGGTTTTGGAAATTGAAAATTAATAAAGTATGTGGCCCTCTTGCACAAAAAGAAAAGAGAAAACGTATGATCACATAAAGTATTTGACTCATATTAATGAGGGTTTGGTGGGAATTAATTTGGTAGCACGTAACAATGTACATTAGCATGTAGCTTTAGAAATTAGGAAATTATAACTTCATTTAAAAAAAAAAATTGTAAGTGTTGATGGAAATATTGCAACTATACCAATCATATAATCAGAAAATATAATTGTAGCATTTAGTCGTTAAATTATTTGTCTTGAGAAAATTTGATTTTGGAAAAAAGAATTACGTATGAAAAAATTCAACATTTATAGAAGGAGATTAGAAAAAAGAAAACAAAAACAAACGCGTCCCCTCTCTCTCTCTTTTCCTCTAAACCCTTCACATCGAAGCATTTCGTTTTCAGTTTGAATCTTCAATTTCTCTCAGATTTAGATCCAGAGGCCAAATCACAGCAGTATCTTCTTTGCATTGTTCGTTTCTTAGTTTGTAATGCTGTTGATCTTAATTGGAACCGACTCGGAGGAAGCGATCAATTGACTCGGTCTATCTTGGATCCTTGTTGACTCAGCGAGGTCGATCACCGGAAGCGCGCGCAGGACTTAGGAGTCATGGGAGGTGTGCCTTCAACGCCTAGAAACACCGGTAGTGATGAAATTTCGGTGGCGGAGTATCTCATTGCCACTTTTGTCGGGGAGAAATCGTTTCCGTTGGCCTCTGATTTCTGGAACAAGCTACTTGAGCTTCCGTTGAGCTCTCGGTGGCCGAGTGAACGTGTTCACCAAGCCTGTGAACTTTTCGGTTAGTGATTCTCATTCACAATGTGTTGAATTCTAGTGTCTCGTAAGTCTATTTTCCAGTATCTTCCATGGATTATATTCTTCGATTTCTCGTCGCATTGTGGAATACACTATGCTACTATTGATTGTAATTCTGCACATGGCTAAGGATTATAAAGGAAGTCTTCTCGAATTCGCTATGAACAAACGAAATTGAATGTTAATGACGACCTAGTGAAAGTAGGAGGAATGTTTTGAAGTTTGATGATAAGTTTTCGATTTTGTTTTTGTTTCCTTTTGCAGCACAAAGCAATGGCTACACTAGGCACCTTGCTAAACTATTGATTCATCTATCGTGGTGTTTGCAAGAGCTTCTCCAAGCTTCGGATGCGCAGTCTTCTATCTACAAGAAAGCTGTTAATGCAACATATATTTCATCCGTCTTTTTGAAGCATTTGATTGAGAATGGCAAAAGTGACAGCCTCGAGGAGTTGCATCTATCTCTGGACGAAAGTGAGCCAGTTCCACATGGCTTTGTAATGGGTAATGACTCTCAAATAGCTCTAACTTATTTCCAGCATTAAGGTTATTCTGATTATGGCTTATTAAGAGTGTGTTAATGGCCAGATCAAGACATCCAGAATTTTGTCATGCATAGTGTGCTGAGCTTCATTGGATCAACTAAAGTGAGGTATGCCATGCTTATCCTATAAGTATTTTATTCATCCTTGTCAATTTCAGTATCAAATGTTCCATTCTTCTGATTTTCATCATTTATTTGGCAAGTCCCAACTCGTATGTTCTACATCAGGAACTTCTGAACTTCATGCTTGTTACAATGTCGACACAGCTTCGCTCCGTACCATCATCTGGACCAAGATATGCAAACCCTTTTATTGATGCAGCAATGGCGCAGGTAACAAATTTTATTAATATTTCTCGTCTTTTGCATAGATTTCGCTCCCTATCAATTTACGCCCTCTATTTTCCTTCAACAAATTTCAGGAAAAATCTCTAGTTTGTCTGGCGGTCAGAAGATTGCTACTTAATTATATATCCCGACATGGTACTCCTCCAAATGCAAAGCCATATTTGTATTCTGATGGAGATTCAGCAGGAATTTTGGAAAGAGTTGGTTCTGCAGCTGGTAGGTATTCGTACTATTTCATAAGTAACTTGTCTACGTTGACCTTTTGCTTTTGCCTTTCTGTTACTTTATGTTTTCCTAGTTAGCTTCGTTGATCTTTCCATGTATATATCAAAACTTTTCTTTTTGCATATGCAGCGACATTTGTGCTCTTGCCTTTGAACTATCTTGTAAAAAGCAGTGGTGACGGATCTAAAAGTCCACTAGCTGAGTGCAGTCTTCATGTTTTGCTTATCCTCACTAACTACCACAAGGCTGTTATGAGTGATGAGTCTATGACGGATAAAAGTGATGACAGTGCTACTTCAGAATCTAAAGTGCATGTATTTTCCTCTGGCAATACTTTTAGTAAGGCTCTAGGAAATGCAAGAGATGTCGAATGTGAGATTTCTTTTTTCTTCTTCTTTATCTTAAAGAGTTGGGTGAGTCCTATGTGTATATCGTAACCGTTACCTTGATTGCAGTTGACCGCTCAGATGTGGAGGGAAATGCCTACCCTGGTCCAGATGTCCGGATACCATTTGCTTCGTTATTTGATACTCTTGGCATGTAAGATGTATTTTCTTGAGCTTTTCTCTATAATAACTTGTTTTTTGTTTCATAGAGATGTATCCTCGTGTATCAAATTCTGAATTCAGTAAGTTGTTTGCTACTGGGTAATAACGCAATCTGGCAATGTAGGAATTTGGCTGATGAGGGTGCTGTCTTGCTCCTCTACTCACTGTTGCAAGGGAACTCCGACTTTAAGGAGTATGTTTTGGTGCGAACTGATTTGGATACTATGGTATGATTCATAAACTCTACTCAGTGTCTCTGTTTCATTTCGTTAGTTCCATTATCCTCAAACGTAGAATCCATTCCTCACTTTTGTTAATCCTGGAATGTTTAATTAGTTGTAGAAAAGTCCTTATGGTTTCATTGCAGTGATCTATGGTTGTAAATAAATATATTTGGTGGTTGACAGTTGATGCCCATTCTGGAAACGTTGTATAACGCTTCAAGGAGAACATCATCCAATCAAATATACATGATGCTAATTGTACTTCTCATACTGAGTCAGGATTCATCTTTCAATTCAAGCGTTCACAAGATGGTACGTGCCGTTTCCAATAGTAGGATTGACATGATAATTTATGAATTTCAGTATCTTTTCCTGATTATGTTTCATTTGAATAGATACTGCCTAACGTTCCATGGTACAAAGAGCATCTCCTTCATCAGACGTCTCTTGGTTCGTTGATGGTCATTATTCTCATAAGAACAGTGCAGCATAACCTATCTAAACTTCGGGTATGGCTTTAGATTTGTATCTTAGCAATGAAGATGTGTCTCAGATGTTTTTCTTCTTAGTTTAGCCGTTTGGGTAGTTGCAGCTTTAAAAAACTGATGTCAAGTAAAAATCCTAGCCAAATATCAACTTCTTCCGACAGAAAATATATTGACAACTGAAACTTATTTGGAGATATATCAGATAAGGCCATTTATGTGAAAACATAGGATTGTGGTCAGTACAGATTACATTGTACACTGAACTTTTGTGACAAATTTAGTTTCTTGGGATGGTACAGGATGTGTATCTGCAGACTACGTGCCTTGCAACCTTGGCTAACATGGCACCTCATGCCCATCATTTAAGTGCATATGCCTCACAGAGGCTTGTCAGCCTTTTCTACATGCTTTCTCGAAAGTATGCAATTGATTTCGCATTTTTTTGTATCTGTTTTTTTGTATAGTATCATTCTCATTATGGTTCCTATTTAACTGAACATGAATTGCTTAACACAGGTATAACAAGTTATCAGACTTGACAGGTGAGAAGCTGCAAAGTATCAAAATAAGCATGTCAGAAGAGGATAATGGCGTTTCAGAAGATCTGGTATGACATACAGTAGTTAGTTCATGCACACCGTATATTCACGCAGATAATTTGCTATTCCTTAATTTCTGGGGTTTTTAATAGATATTTTGCCAATTGCAGGCAGCAGAGCTTCAGATCTTTACTGATTTCCTCAGACTAGTCCTAGATATATTAAATGCAATTTTGACATACGCATTGCCAAGAAATCCCGAGGTATCACATTGTCATTTTAAACCTCTCCTGCGTTTCCATGCTCTGTATCAGTCTGTGAATTCTGGTTTCTGCAGATTGTCTATGCTGTTATGCATCGGCAAGAAGTGTTCCAACCTTTCAAGAACCATCCGCGTTTCCACGAGTTAGTCGAGAATATATACACAGTACGCTCCATAAGCTTTAAGTTGTTAAAATTCCAGAAGGAACAGAGTTTCTGAATGATCTGTTTGTTTCTCACTTGCCTAACTGATTATCTTGTTTCTGCCTGTTATAGGTGTTAGACTTTTTCAATAGCCGAATGGACTCAGAAAGATCGGATCGAGAATGGTCAGTGCAGAAAGTTCTTCAATTCATCATCAACAATTGCCGGTCTTGGCGAGGGGAAGGCATGAAGGTAAGAAAAAACCTCTTACAGTTAATCATCAATCACTGATATAATTTAAAGCTCATATCTTTCTTCCATTGTTTTCTGCTATTACCTACCGCAGATGTTTACTCAACTTCACTTCTCATATGAACAAGAGAGCCACCCAGAAGAGTTCTTTATTCCATACGTTTGGCAACTTGCTTTTTCCCGAAGGTACTTAGCCCAAACACACACACTTTCACTTTTTATTTCCTTCTCTACTTTTTATCGAAGAACACACCCATCTCATTATCTCTTGCACCTTTGTTTTTGTTCGCAGCGGGTTCAGTTTTAATCCCGACGCCATCAACTTATTCCCAGCGCCACACCAAGTTGAAGTAAGTACCTAATTCCATCCAACAATGCATAAACACAAACGGACATTCGATATACAATATGAGAAACTTCGCCTGTCTATATTGTAATTGCTAGCATTCGTAACATAGGATGGTTCATTACCACTCAGTTTGATGTTCCTAACGGATTATCTGCAGAAACAGACAGAAGACGGAAGAGGAGAAGAAGTGGATGTGAAAGAGAAGGTGCAAGAGTTGAGCGAGCAGAGAATCGTCTTCGATCCTTAGTATTTTCCGATATAGTAATAGGAGAGTGGCGTATGTATATATTTATACGGTTTAGGGTTCAAATAAGACTATGTACTAAAAAGACGTAATTATTCTCCAAAGTTTATTTACTTAGATTGATAGGTGTTGTCAGTCAGCTCCATCGATAGGTACTCTCTCTCCCTCGTGTAAGAACGATAAACGAATGTAGTTTCTGTCGTGTCTGAACCTTTAATGCCCTTAACCCATAACCTTAAATTTCTATAAATACAAATACTTGCATAAATAATTTCCCCCAAACTGTTGGAAAACTTTCTCTTCTTTATCGCAATCTCTCCCCAATTCTAGCTTGATTGACTTCTAAATCAATAGAGAAACTTGCCAATTTGAAACTCTTTTTTATAATTACAGAAAAGGAAACTTACCATTTTGAAATTGTTACTTTTTCACTTTTGTCCTAAGCGCGTGGATAAATTCATAATACTGTCGGTATTTAAATACCATTAAAATAATGTAGATATTGCAATTTTCAGATACGTTGTACATCTCTGATACGTCTTGTCCTGAATCTAGGGTTTCTCTCTCTCTCTCTCTCCTTCGATGATTTTGAGCGCCTCCTTCTCCCTCCATCTCTTCATCGCTTCTGGGCTCCATTCATCTTCTCGCGATTCCTTTTTATCCATGTTCAATTAAACTTTGATTCTCGCACTCACCTCACAGATCTCCTCTTTCTCTGTGAGCTTTCGCGAGTTTAATCTCTTTTTCACTTTCTAGCTTCGAATTTCTCCGATTTCGGTCATCCGCCTTCTCAATTGCTGCGACGAGATCCAGTGGAGGTCTCTGATTCGTGCTGTACTTCAATGGAAGCTATTGGGCGCGGCGAAATGGAAGCGAAGAACAAAAAGCCTGCTAATTTGATCGAGGATGCGGACATTGATGAAGGTCCCGAGAGTGATTCTACCATTAGTAGCGTTATAAGTTTAGATGATGAGTCGGTGGTTGATGTTTCCGGTCAAAATCTGGAGCTTTCTCTTCTGGGTAATGCGGATGATTCGGCGAAGGGTCTCTACTTGTTCAGAAACGTGTTCAATTTGATTCCGAAATCGATCGGAGGGCTTGGGAGATTGCGGAAGCTCAAGTTTTTCAGTAACGAGATCGACCTTTTCCCGCCGGAGTTAGGGAATTTGGTGGATTTAGAGTATCTTCAGGTGAAGATATCGTCACCAGGATTCGGCGACGGCTTGTCGTGGGACAAGCTTAAGGGATTGAAGGAGCTCGAGCTTACTAAAGTCCCGAAACGATCTTCTGCTTTGACCCTCTTGAGCGAGATTTCTGGTCTCAAGTGCTTGACAAGGCTCTCTGTTTGTCACTTCTCCATCAGGTAAAAGCTACGCCTTTTATCTTCTGTTGCTTCGTTTCCAGCTTCTTAATGCCTTATCTCCTGGGCTTCTCAGCTTGCTTTGCTACATAGCATTGATTACTCAAAGGTGGCTTTTGACAGGAAACGTAAGTTAGAAAATTATTGATCGTGATACGTTTTGTTGCTGCTTAATGCGGTGTATATAACATGCGTATAGTTAGTTTATTTGCTTTCTTACTTTTGCTCTTTAGTTTGATATCTAGATTGCTATTAAGATATCTCTTTTTTTTCTTAATATGCGTTGGGTTTTTTGGATTGGGCATAGTTGATATATTCCTACACGTTGCTTCAAATTATAGTGGACTGTTTTAAACTTTTTTCTCCTCACTTGTTGCAGATATCTTCCCGCGGAGATTGGATGTCTTAAGAGTTTGGAGTATTTGGATCTCTCCTTTAACAAGATCAAGATTTTGCCAAACGAGATCAGTTATCTGAGTGCATTAGTGTTCTTGAAGGTTGCTCACAACAGGCTGATGGAGCTACCACCGGTTTTAGCTTTATTACAAAACTTAGAAAGCCTGGACGTTTCCAACAACCGATTGTCAACTCTGGATCCTCTCGATCTAAACTTAATGCCTAGGCTTCAAATTTTGAATTTACAGGTACATGTCTCTCTGCTTTTGCACTATATTGCTGTAATATTTGGATATTCTTTAATCTGACAGAGCTTCTTGGGTTTTTTGTTTGTTTCAAGTACAATAAGCTCCCGAGTTATTGCTGTATTCCCGATTGGATACAATGTAGTATGGGAGGAAACTATGAAGAGATGGGAGTTGATACTTGTAGCAGCAGCTCTATGGTTGAAATGGATGTATATGAAACACCGTATGAGAACAACAACATAACTGTTCCTCATAAAGGTGAGAGTTCTTTCTTTCCTTTCCATCTGTATTGTGTATGCCTAGTCAAACTGGGAGTTTTGATACTTCGTTCTTTTTAACTTTTATTTGTCTTTCTGAATGATGCAGGCTCCCACCGTAGCCCATTAAATATGTCAACTCGAAAATCAAGTAAGAGGTGGAAGCGGAGGCAGCATTACTTCCAGCAAAGGGCAAGGCAAGAGCGCTTGAACAACAGCAGGAAGTGGAAAGGTGAAGTCCTTCCGGTGGGATTAAATCTGAAGATGGACATAGTCGAAGAAACTGAGAAACAGGGCATGAATGTGTCCCAGAACACTGACAAAGCTTCGGTTGATAGCGTCTCCTTGGATGACTCTAAACTGTTACAAGAGGCTGAAGTTGAAGATTCTGTCATTACTTCTGAAGAGGAAGAGAGCAGATTGAAAGCGGCTTTAGTTTCTGAGAGTTCCCCATGTTTGGAAACCCAATCAAGGAGTGAGAGAGATAACAAGGAGTCTTGTGAGAGGAAGACATCTTCTCCCTCCTCAGGAGATACAGTGGTTACTGCAGACTATAATTCTTCTTCAGAGAGAAAGAAACCAAATCACAAGTCGAAGAGATGCAGTGATAAGTATCTAGATAACCCAAAAGGTTCCAAATGCCATAGGCCATCTACCGATATTGCTAATCTGTCGCACAAATACAGCAGCAACTCATTTTGCAGCACAGAAGATTCTCTTCCTGATGGTTTTTTCGATGCGGGACGTGATAGGCCCTTTATGGCTCTTAGTAGGTATGAGGAAATTTTGCCTCTTGATTCTCGTGAAGTCATTCTCTTGGACAGGTAATTACTAATTACTATCACTTTTAATTACATTGACTCGAACAATCCTTAATATCTATCCAGGGGTAAAGCTTACTTTGCCTATTTTTTGTTATGTTTGAAGAGCAAAGGATGAAGTATTGGATGCAATCACTCTCTCTGCTCGAGCCTCGGTAGATAGATTGAAGAAATCGTACTGTTTAACTGCAGATGGAGATCAAGCTTCCATTGACAACTTGCAGATTGCGTCACATCTTGCCCTTTTTGTGTCAGATCACTTTGGGGGGAGTGACAGAACCGATATTGTTGAAAGAACCCGGAAGGCAGTGTCTGGTACAAACTACCAGAAGCCCTTTATCTGCACCTGTTTGACCGGGAATCAAGACGACGTGGCTGCTCTTAACAAACAGGTATCAACGACAGCTGAAGATGTCGTTTTTTCTGATGTGTGTGAAAAATCCTTGCGTTTTATCAAGTCCAGACGGAACTCTATAGTGGTTCCTCTAGGGAAACTGCAATTTGGCATCTGTAGGCACAGAGCCTTGCTCATGAAGGTACTCAATCATTCTGATGCTTTAGGATATCTGAACTCTTTGGTTTTCTTTAGCGAAAGAATTGCTAATACTTATTCTTTCTTTCTTTTTTTCTTGTTTCTAGTACCTTTGTGATCGTATGGAACCTCCGGTGCCTTGTGAGCTTGTTAGAGGTTATCTAGATTTCATGCCACATGCCTGGAACATTGTTCCTGTAAAGCGAGGTTCCTCATGGGTTCGTATGGTAGTTGATGCTTGCCGTCCTCATGACATCAGGGAAGATACAGATCAAGAATATTTCTGCCGGTATGACATTTTTCGACTCTCTTCTTATCAATTGTTTTCTATATATGACCTTTCTTTTGGACAGCTACTTTGGTTCTGTTGATTTGCAGATAGACTACAGTTTTGTGCTGAATGACTTATCTCTTTGTTGTATATTCTGATTGGTAGGTACATTCCCCTTAATCGGCTCAGTGAATCTATTCGCACAGGAGCAAATTTGGAACCAGGATGTTCTTTTTCTTCTCTGTCATCAGGCAAAGGAGTAGAAAGAGCTAATAGTAATCTTATCCGATGCAAGCTTGGCTCCAATGAAGCAGCTGTGAAGGTCCATTTTTTTTCCTTTATAGTCTTTCTCCAGCTCAGGTTTGAGTGAACTTGCTGAACTCTTTTCTTATTTCCTTTCCTCAGATGCGTACATTAGAGGTTCGTGGAGCTTCCGTAGATGACATTAGGACTTTTGAGTATACTTGCTTAGGCGAAGTGCGGATTTTAGGAGCCTTGAAACATGACTATATCGTGGAGTTATATGGACATGAGATATCTTCCAAGTGGATAACATCTGAAAATGGAAAGGAACATCGACGCGTATTGCAATCTTCTATTCTGATGGAACACATAGAAGGAGGATCTCTGAAGGTTAGCATTCTTTTTCTTTTCTTTTTTTTGTCAATCCCATATTTATAGTCTCTGTAACATCAACAATAATTGTTTCATGGTTGTATCTCTACAGGGTCACATTGAGAAGCTTTCTGAAGCTGGCAAGCACCATGTACCCATGGATCTAGCCATGTCTATCGCAAGAGCTATCTCAGGGGCTTTAAAGGAGCTGCACTCGAAGGATATAATTCACCGTGACATAAAAAGCGAAAACGTTTTGATCGATCTTGACAATGAAAGAGAAAACGGAGAACCAGTTGTGAAGCTTTGTGATTTCGATAGAGCAGTCCCGCTTAGGTCTCACTTGCATGGTTGCTGTATTGCTCATGTGGGGATACCTCCTCCTAACATCTGTGTCGGTACGCCACGATGGATGTCCCCTGAAGTGTTCAGAGCAATGCACGAACAAAACTTTTACGGACTTGTACGTTTCTCCAACATTCATTTGTTCATCAAGGTTTTAT